TGATTCTATGATTAGCTCTTTGAATGTCTTGTCATTATCCATGTTTAACATGGCACTCATCAATAAGGGCTTTTCTCCACAGTTATTCCTGATGTGGCATATCCAGAGCTCCACCCATGGATTTGAGATAATTTTTTTAATGATAGGACAAGGAGCGATGGTTTTAGACTGAAGGACAGTTGATTTAGATTAAATATAAAGAAATTTTTTTTCAATTTGGGTGGCTAAGAGTTAGACCTAGATGGTCTCTAAGGTCCCTTCCAACCCAACCCATTCTATAATTCTCTTATTCCAATGTCTACTACTGCACTGTGCAAGAGACTTGGATCCAGTTGGCACATACATTGGAGGGAAGGAGGGATAGAGCATCCATTACAGATTTCCAACATCCAGTCTGCCTTGGGGTCTCCACTGAGTGTAGGGAGGTGTTTGCTGGCAATGTGAGGGAGTAAATGGTGTGAATCTGTTGATGCTCTCCTGACCTCAGACACAGCAGGCCAGTGTCAGTGATGCAGGAGGTGGTCTGGAACCAACCAGCTGTGCTCACATAGGGTGGAGCTGCATCCTTGTCTGAGCAGTGTTGGAGCCTACTGGAAGTGAGGGTGAATGATTTGTAAATGTGGTTTTCTAATTTAGGGTACACTTCATGTAGAGGGGAAACAAAAATCTCATCTCTGAGTCCAGAACCATCAAATCTTCCTGTATATAATAGGAGAGAGGTTCATATCTTAAGGATAACTGGTACCCCTTGTACTGGTCTTATCGTGACAGGTGTTAGCTGATAGATTTGGGCTCGATATATCCTTTAAATAAATACTTCTCTTCATTTTGAAAACTATCTCTAAGCTGTGATTCTGCTGCTAAATAAGGAATGCTAATGAATGTCCTGACAACCAAAGATCATATCTATTCCCCAAGATTTATTCCAGTCTCCGTGTCCTCACTGCAGTTTTAGTTCTCTTCAGTTTGCATTGGTCTTTGATGCCCTTCCTTAAATGTCATAAGCACGTGATATGTCTCTATAACTGAGTTCAGCTCCTGAGATCATAGAATCATGGAATGTTTTGGGTTGGAAGGGACCTTAAAGATCTCGTTCCATCCCCTGCCATGGGCAGGGACACCTTCCACTAGACCAGGTTGTTCCAAGCCCCATCCAACCTGGCCCTGAACATTTTCAGGGTGGAGCAGCCACAGCTTCTCTGGGCAACCTGTGCCAGTGTCTTGCCATCTTCACAGGGAAGAATTTCTTTCCACTATCCCATCTAGCCCTGCCCTCTGACACTGGAAAGCCATTCCCCCTTGTCCTGTCACTCCAGACCCTTGTTCAAAGTCCCTCTCCATGTTTCTTGCAGACTCCTTTAGGTACTGAAAGGCCACAGTTAGGTCACCCCAAAGCCTTCTCTTCTCCAGGCTGAACAATCCCAATTCTCTCAGCCTTTGCTCTTAGGAGAGGTGCTCCATCCCTCTAATCAACTTGGTGCCTCCTCTGGACTTGCTCCAGCAAGTCCATGTCCTTACTGTGCTGCAGACCCCAGAGCTCAGGGGTTTGAAGCTCTGCTGTAGGTAGTGGGCAAAGTGGGGAGTGTCTCTTCCTCAAAAAAAACCCTAGAAAAACCAGAATTCTGGGTAGGATGGATGAAAAACTCATCCATTAGTCCTGTATCCTGATATGCCTGTGCTGGGAGCACTTGTGAATGATCCTGGAGCTGATTTCTCCACATCCATGGAGGATATCTCCATGAAACCGGGCCTGATCTGTCCTGGTGAAGATTCCAATGGCCACAGTCTGGAGACACTTGTCCATGAGTGCCTGCTGAAGATGCTGGAAGGATAGTGGAATATATTAACAGTGCCCAACCATCCTGCCCCCTTCTCCTCTGAGCTTCTTTGGTCATGAGCACCTCAATTTGAATGGGGGCAGAACTGGTCCAGTCTGATGATCACGAACCTAAATCTAAAATAAATTGAGCATGAATTTGGAGTCATTCCATGTGCTCCAGTGAAGATGCTTTGGAGTCACACTAGTGTAAATGAGATCAAAGTCTGGCTGCTTCTCCAAGATGGCCAGAGAGAGCATGAATGAAATCCCCAGCAAAAATAGAGACTCTCTCTCAGGAACAAGCCCCCCAGCTGGCAAGATTCATCAGAGAACTGGAGCTACTGAAAAATGCTGCAGACAGAAAATGAATTAGAGGATAAAAAAAGTGAAAATGAGCTGGCAGAATCTTTAGGTGACTCATCAGGTGCATCTTGTAAAGTCTCTTTCTGAGAAGTAATGAAATCGCATGTTCTAACAATATTTGCACTGCAGCAGGAAAATGCATAAATATTGGGATCAATTAATGAAATTAGATAATTTGACCAAAAAGCCACAGTGCTGGCTCAGAAACCATCCCTCTTCCTTTTTGCTAGTGTCAGTGCTTGCAGTTGGAGAGGAAAATCCCATGGTTTTGTTTCACATCTAGGATAAGCAAATTCTGGGCGGTCACAGGGACACGCTGGGGAGTCATAAAATCATAGAATTTTAAGGGTTGGAATGGACCTTAAAGATCATCTAATCCCGACCCCCTGCCCTGGGCAGGGATACCTCCCACAAGACCTGATTGCTCAAGTCTTTGTCCAGCCTTGCTTTGAACACTGCCAGGGTTGGGGCAGCCACAGCCTCCCTGGACAACCTGTGCCAGTGTCTCACCACCCTCACAGCAAAAAACTTCTAATATCTAATCAAAATTTTCCTCTTTCAATTTATCCTCATTACTCCTTGTCCTGTCACTGCAGTTCCTAACCAAGAGTCCCTCTGCAGCTTCCCTGCAGCCCCTTCAGATCCTGGCAGGTTGCTCTGAGGTCTCCACACAACCTTCTCTTCTCCAGGCTGAACAGTCACCTGCAGCTTGAGGACTTCCACATTCACCTTATGGAAATCCTCAACCTGGTGTGCAGGCAGGTGCATAAACCCCTGGTAGCTGTCTGGGCATGCAGCTTCCCACCCTTTGGATTTTAGGATTGGTGAGGGTGGACTCATCTTGTCTCTGCCAACCACAAAGATTGTCTCTTGGTGTTCCTCAACCTCTGTTTTTCAACTGAAAAATGGTTTTAAAGAACATAATGATTTTCTTTAAAACGGGAATTTTTCCTCAGGAAAAAGCCTGTGGATATGTGACATTTACATATTCCACTAACTCATGGCACGTGGTGGAGTTCATTGCAGATCTTCAATTCTGGGATATGAGGTGAATTTGACTGAAATGATATAAGTGAAATGAATTGAGTTGATCTATCAATTTACTGTAGTGACAGGACAAAGAATTAATGGGGAGAAATTGAAAGAGGGAAATTTTGATTAGATATTAGAAGTTTTTTGCTGTGAGGGTGGTGAGACACTGGCACAGGTGCCCCGGGGAGGCTGTGGCTGCCCCAACCCTGGCAGTGTTCAAAGCCAGGTTGGATAAAGCCTTGATCACCCTGGTGTGGTGGGAGGTGTCCCTGCCCAGGGCAGGGGGTTGGGACTAGATGATCTCTAAAGTCTATTCCAACCTCTTAACATTCTGTGAGTCTGTGATTCTACACTAGTTATAGTAATTACCTTATTCCAACAGTATTTTAAGGGATTTATATTTGGGAAAGGCACTAAACCTTGGGAGAAGAATGGGTCTGCATTTATACTCTAATAATGATGAAATCTGAAGTGTCAATGCCTGTATTGCAGAACATACACCCAGCGCTCGGGTAGGGATTTTGGTGGGTAATCATGAGCTCTCTGAGCCAAAAAGAGCTATCACCATCTTCAGATTTATCAACAGCAAGAGCAGAACTCATCAGGTTATCCTACCCTTGGATTGGCTCTGCTACAACTGTTGTTGGAATAATTTGTCTGCTTTCTGGCGTCCTCGATTCAAGAGGATGTTGACAAATTGGAAAGATGTAAAAGAGCCACGAGGGTGGTTAAAAGATTGGCAAAAGCTCCTTGCCAAGGAAACAGCCAGGCTCCTGGCTCGGCTCAATTCTGTATTTTTTGTTCTCTAAATGAAGGTTAAAGGGTGGTATTAGCAGCTCCAAGTACCTGTGTGAGGAGCAAAAATAGAGGCTGTCAGACAGAGGTGGAACACCTGGCAGTGCCTGGGAGGTGAAGCCAGACTTGAGCTGAACAGAACAGTTTTTAATAGTCAAAGTGATGATCTGTTGCGATATTTTACAGGAGTACTGATTTTTTCATTCATCTCTGGAATTATATGCATCAAAATTTGGTTTATTGTGGAGATTATTATTTGGATGTAGGTGTATTTCATGGAGGAAAACCCTTTATTAAGGAGGAGCAAACTAAGAGTTATGTGTATGCCAGAGCATCTCTTGATATTGAGCATCTACTCATTAGCTCTACCTGCACCTCACCTAGGATGTTTCTTCCTCAGTGGTCTTAGATGTCTGTGGTCTGAGCCACGTTCGAGTGTTTGAATGCTGTCAGTAAGCAACAGTGAGAGTTTGAAATGAGATTTTTCCTCTCCACGAGCATTTCCCTCGTGAAAAATGAAAACTAGTGCTGTTTATCCTGTTTATTCTAAATCTAGGTTTGATTTGAAGAGATCCTTGTGTTCCCTGCAGAGTTTGTTCCACCTTTGTTGCACAGCAAGCCTTGATTTCCGCAGGAAGCTCATCCAAGGAGAGGCTGTGCTAAATTTACCTTGAGATCTACGTGTGGCAGCATTACCCAGATAATTCTGCAGTTGTAAAGCTCAGAGCAGAGCATGAAGTCTGCCTCTTGTTGTTCTTTCTTACCATTCAATACAAGTAAAATATTGGCTCTGCCTTGCTGGACTTACTGCCCATAAGGATTTGAAGGAGCTCAGGGTGTGTAAAGGTTCTTCAAATACATCCTGGAGGGATGTTCTGTACCAATCCCTCACCTTCACTTACTACAGCAGATAAAAGAGGAATGTCTGGGGTTTGCTATAAAACCACATTGCCCTTTTATTTACATTTAATGTTCTCTTTTCTTTTTCTAGCTGTGGGGAGCTCAAAAAATCAAGCAGGTAATACACTCTTTTTATAATTCCTTATTATTTTCAACTATTGCTGCTTTCCCCCTTTTCCCTAAGCGACTCTGTCCTCTTCTCCGTTATTCCCTTTGCCAGTTGCTGTTTTGCCTTGCCATGGAAATGTAAATGCAGAGAACACTCTGCCACCAAAGAGCCTGATTTTTTTTATATATATTTATATATTTTGATGTCTTCATTTTCTCCTTCCTGTCTAGTCAAGAGATTTCTTGTCTCCAGTCTTTTGAAAATAGTTTGACAGTTCTTTGGGAAGGCTTGTGGCTGTGCAGTAACTTCCCCCTCTCCAGTCCTGGATTGCTTGGGGATTGATTTTTCGTCCCCAGCCAGTTAATGCCAGTGCAGCCTCCTGGATCCCTTGGAAAACTTGAGTTAAAATTTGGGTAAAAATGGGCCAAGTGAGCTTTGATGCCTGTTTATCAGTGAAACAGATACAGGTTTTCCATGGAGATTGTGTTGTCCACAGCTGCCAGCTCTGGTTGAAAAGCTGTGGATACACTTAAAGGTTGGATTCTCTGGCAAATCCAAATCCTGTGTGTGATTTTATCTGGGTGCTCCTTATGGTAATATCCAGAGTGGCCATACCTGTATGTTTTGATCCCAGCTCATCCTGAAGGAGCATTTCAGGCTTCCTGTGACCTGTGGATGGGGAAGGTGTTCCTAGGAGTGAATCCATCCATCATGGCTGAGTCACATGAGACCTTCTGGGTTTCTCCTGTGACCCATTTGCCTCATGAGCAGAATAAAGTGATTTACACCCTCATTCCCTCCCAAGCTGTCAGCCCTGCCCTCCACATCCTTCTGCTACAGCAAGGGCTTTTCCCATCTTTCCTAGGGCAGAGGTTCAGCCAGGACAGGAAGCTGCACCTCAGTGGAGATGCTGAAAACAGGCAGGGACAGAAAACAGTTCTCCATTTCCCCTCCTAAATCTTCACTTCCCCCTTCTGAGGTTAACATGCAGCCGTGGGTGGCCTTTGGGTACATTATAGAACCAAGAAAGAGCCACTCTTTGTCTTTCAGATTTAATTATTTACTTTTAAATAAGTAATTTATTTTAAATGATTAAAGGAAGGGGAAAGCAGCAATGGGAGGAAGTTTTGTGGAGCTGCTGAGCAGTAGCTGCCTTTGGTGGGAGCTGTAAACGCAAGGAGGGTCCCAAAATATGTGAAGTCTCAGGTACTCTCTGGTCAGAGATGTTTGTAGGCTAAGTGGTGGCTTCACTGCACCTGTGCCTTCACCATGTCCCTTTGCTGACTGTTTTACAGGCCATCATCCACCCCGATACAAATGAGACCATCTTCATGCCTTTCCGAATGTCAGGTATGGTTTGTCCCATTAATTTTACTGGGAATTTGTACAGAACCTTATTTTTTTCTCCTGTTTTTGAATTGTATCTTGTCAACATTTAGACCAAGATCAGAAAGTAGTCCTAGCATCAAAGTCTCTATGCAGGTGAGGAGAATTAGGATCCTAAATGCCTATGCAAGATCTAGTGCTTAATATTTTCCTTTCCTTTCCTTTCCTTTCCTTTCCTTTCCTTTCCTTTCCTTTCCTTTCCTTTCCTTTCCATTTTCTCCCTTCCTCCTGGATGAGAGAGGAACTTCCTACTTTTACATGGACTCAGGCCAATGCCTTTTCCAGCATTTTTGAGGTATCTGTCACTATTTAGAGCATGTGAATTTCATAGTAAATGACAAAACTTGATGCCCAAGGTGTCTTGTGATACATACATCCTCACTAGGTAAAGAGGAGGGGGATGAGAGGATTTTATTCTCTGGGAAAGAATGGGATGAGCCCTGTTTTATCATGTGCGATGATATCTAATAGCCACAGCATTGGGAGTCCAGGGAGGATCACCTTCTCCAAAGCTTAACTGGGCTGCCATGCACAGGTCCAGGGCTGCCTCTGCTGTGGGTTGAACAGCAGCTCTTCTGAGGGTGCAAATGCAGCCTTGATCCTTTCCCAATGGATTTATTTAAATAAACAGGACCTTTTCCATATTTTTAGGTGGAACGTCATCACCTGATTACTAGGCACAGGGGAAAGATGGCAGGGTAGGTGGGTTTTGTCCTCCAGTACATTGAAGAAGGATGATGCAGAGGGTGATATGGAGGGGAGAGAAAGCAGGATCCACTTTTTGCTGCCTTGTTATGTATTTTTCCTTTAAATTTTTCTTCCTGTCAGGTCTTTTTCCTTTTCCAGTTGTAAATTGGATCCACGAGGCTTAATTCAGTAATATTGGTAAAATGCTCTGAGACCTTCTAGTGGAAGTCAGAGAGATGAATTATAATTAGCACAGGAATTGGCAGACTTAGCAGGGGAAAAATGTGAAGCATTTGATTTTTGTGGCACTCAATAAGATTTGGGGTAAAGATTCATCTATAATATAGAGAGAGCTTTAACCTACACCTATGATTAAAATAGTCTCTCTCTCCTCCATGATGCAAATACACTTTCTTCAGCTTATACCCTCTTCCTTTTTCACCTCACCTAGGAATAAATGAGCTCTCCTGGTATACAATCACCAGTGGAGAGGTGGATAAAGCAGATGGTGAGAGAGGGAGGTCCCACCTGTGGTGGCATGTCCTGCTTCTTACCTGGGATGGGCTCTGCAGCTATTAGATGGCTTGATGGGCATCTTCAGGATGCTATTCCTGGTGGGACCAGGCTCAACATGAGGGAAAGGGGCACAGAGAGCTGGAGAGTTTTCTCCTGGGTTAGTGAGGGGAGGTTGTGGGAGGGTCTGATGAGCAACAGAGCTGGCATGAGGGAGGGAACAGATTGTGTGACTGAGCCTGGGAAGGGGGGCAGGATCTCCCCCTTTCCATGGCAGCAAGCCACTAGGTCAGCTCAGTCAGCACCACCACAGCAGGATCCAGCTCCTCCAGGTCTGGACAGAGCAATCCTGGTGTGAGCTCCCATCCCTTTGCTTTGCCAATGTGAGGTGTGGATGCCCAGTCCAGCTCAACCATGTGAGACCCTCTGAGTGCCAACAGCACATACTGACATAGACTGGGTTTACTGGAAGAAGCTTTAGTGTCTAGATGGTTCAAGTTTTAGGAAAACTCTTAGACCACAACCCAAGAAAAGCAAATAAAGGATGGGAAGGAGATGGGACACAAATCAGGAGGATGCTCCAGTTGTTGCTCAGTGCATCAGGTGTAGGTCCAAGATGTGGTGGTGCAGAGCTGGTGGAAGTGAGTGCAGTCCTTCATGCCAGGTGTGGCTTTTTCCCTAAACTGACATTTGTCTTAGGTGGGATTTTTTCTCATCCCAAGATCACATATTAAAATTAATTAACCTCTTTTATTTCCATAGGTTACATTCCCTTTGGAACACCCATCGTAAGTATTTTAACATCCCTCCCTGCTTTGTGAGCACCAAGAAATGCATTTTTAGAACATCCATATTCCACCTTTCCACCTCGTGACACATTCCCACAGGATTCCCACCTTTCCCACTGCATGTGAACAAGGATTTCACCGCGTAAAACCCACCCTCTGGATGAGGTTATTTGTTTATTATTGAGGTTATTTATCTATTAATATATTGATGTTATTTATCTATTATTGAGGTTATTATCTATGATTGAGGTTATTTATCAATTAATATATCGAGGTTATTTATCCATTATATATATAAGGCTATTTATCTATTAACCCAACCTCAGCTGGAGGTTATGTATGCCCAACTTTCTTCAGCATTTTCTTCTTTCCCTCTGGAAAGGGAAGACCAAGCTGAGCTCATTGCCTGGAAAATGCAACTTCTGCAACTCTCAGATTTCATCTTTGGGCACTTTTATTTTACATTTACTTGCATCACAAGTCACCTCCCAAACATGACAAGCTCCAGCACGGTGAGACCAGTGTCATGTGCTCTCATCTTGATTAATTAAATCAACAAGCACTTTCCTGGAGTTATTGCTAAGGGCACTGGTAGTTTGTACTTGTTATTGTGAAATTTGTAAGCATTTGGGTGCTCTTGATAGTGAAAGCCAGAAGGGAGCTAATTCTGCCTGTTTTCCAACTGCTGAAAACTCAATGCATCTTCAGGAACAGGAATGATTAAGTAACTCCATTTTTGTGTGAATGGGGAAACTGAGGCACAGTTTTGCCCCAAAAAAGTGGGTGCCAGAAGGTAGTTGGTCCTCATAGCCATCAGGTCTTGCTTTACCTTGTTAGATCACACATTAAAATGGCTGAAGGAGCAAAATACACTGAATTTAGTCTTCCTACACCCAGTGGACCGTGTGGACTTGGCTAAAGACAATGACCCTTTCCCAGATGGTCATAATGAGGTTGCTAGTCGTAAAACCAGAAGTCATTGCGTCTGTTGCTATTTGTTGTGGTGTGTAAAGGTTTGGTGGGAACTTTGTATGGGGCATTTTAAAAGAAAAGGTTAAACAAAAATGAGTTAACGATCAAATTGACAATGAAATCGGCCCAAATCCAGAGCTGTCAGAGGAGCCGAGAGCTGTCAGATGAGCCCAATTTCACTATAGCTGTAAAGGATAAACTGGAACCTCTTGTCATTTAAAAAAAAAAAAAAAGAAAAAAACCCAAACGTTTCAAATGTTAAAATTAAAATGTAACATTTATGCCAATCGATCTGTGAAATTTAGTGACAAAATTGGCAGCCTGCTCTAGCATAAAAACAGTTTGAGTCTTGTATTTCACATAGGGGGATGGGATTTCCTCAAGAGAGACTGTGCTGGGCTCGGGTTGAGCCAGTGTGGTCGTCCTCACCGCGAAGCTGTGCTGCTGTTGGGGTCAACCAAACACCCTCACAGGGACGTGCTCAGATTGTGTATGAACAGGTTAAGGGCTCGTCAGTCAATCCACACTGCTGCCTGTGTCCGTGAGGGTTATTTTCCCCTATAGCTAATACAAAATAATTCAGTTTGGTTTAGCTCATTGTGGAAGGAGATTAAGGTCTTGTTCAAATAATTGTTTCTTTTCTGGCCCCAGCAGCAACTCCCCTGACACAGCCAAATCCCGTGGCCATTTGTTCTTCCCTGAGTTGCTTTTCTCTTCAGCCTCTATCCTTTCTCTGTCAGGTTTAGGGATTGACCCCAGGATCACATGCAGTTGCAGAATGTGGACAGGATGGAGTATGTGTAAGTGTGCAGACAGTTTGGCTTTACCCATTTCATCCGTTTTCAGCCCAGGAGGGAGCAAATCCAGCCCCTGGAATTATATCCCTGCGCAAAGACACTGCTGGGATGGAGCTTTTTACCCTGAGTTTGTGTTTCCTCCTCCAAGGGGTGGAAGATTTATCTGCATTTAGGAAATTCAGCCTAAAACTCGGGCACTGAAGACGAAGCAGGCGCACGGCTGCTGTGCCCTGCTGCCACCCACAGCCTGCAGCACCTCATTTTCCTCAGCCATTTAAAATTGGGGAGGGCTTGTTGCGGTTTGGAAGTGTGTAGAGAAGACCTGGATGTTAATTTGGGAATGAGATGAGATGTCCCTGCCCAAGGCAAGGGCGTTGGGACTAGATGATCTCTAAGGTCCAGTCCAAGCCCTTAACATACTACGATGCTATGAGATGACTCTTGCTGACATGCAAGGCAGGACTTGGGGCTTGCAAGAGGAGAGCTCAGGCTGCTCAGAGCTGACAGATGTCCAAGCAGTGTTCTTAGCCCTGACTTTGGGGCTATGAAGGACCATTCACACCTGACCACCAATTAAATTTTGTCCCTGCTACTTCTCTAGTGTTTCAAAGATTTTTTTCTTTTTTTCATATATTTTGTTTTCCTTCTTAGTTATTTTTTCCCCTGACAGTAATTAAAAGTGAAATTGTACATTTCTTGACAGACTCTTGCACATATGGAGAGTTTGCATTTAAACGTGCCTCTTTCAGTCATACAGATTTTGGGTGCTCTTTTTTATTTATTTATTTTCCTCTTGTATTTTTCCTCGGCGGCTCAGCTTCAGCTGACAATGTGAGCTGCTGCCTGCCGGCTTCCCGCTCCTCCAGAGCCTCATTATCCCACTGGCTTTCAGGGCACAAGTCACTCCTCGGGTGAAGGAGGTTCCTTGCCTGTTGAATCCGTTTGGCTAAGAGCAGCGCCGGAGTAATTAATGATGAGCTCTGCTCGTTGAATGGAAGTGGTAAATTAGTGTAACTTGCACAGGTTGGCGCTCAGCCAACGCACAAAGTAGCTGCAACTTCACCAAAGGCTGTAGGAGGAAAAGCTGGAGGAGGAGGAGGAGGAGGAGAAAGGAAAGATGTAAATGAAATGAGGCCTCCCAACCCTATTACCCTTTTGTTTGTTGTTATTTCTCTCTCGTGTCCTGAAGCGTAGAAGTTGCCTCCTCTTCAACTGATGCTGCTGCAGATGTGTGGAGATGCTTTAGCTCATCCCTCCGTGCTCTCAGTGCTCTGACAGTGAAGTTTGCTTTCTTCTCAGCTGCTTAGGAATAAACTTAGAGAAAATGGTGGAGAAGATGGGCTGAGGGAGGGAATGAGCTCACAGCCTTCTTGCCCAGGTGCCTTGGAGACATGAGTGTCCTGAATATAAATGTGTTTGGAATGAAAATGAGTTGTTCAGTCTTTTTACTCTGTGATTTTGCCACAAGAAAACCATCTTCTTCAGAAACTATCAGGAATTTAAGGCACAGAAAGGTATAAAATGACAGTGGTGTTGGGAAGTATCTCACCTGTTTCTTACTCAAGAAATAATCATCCTGTTTCTGTTTGTTGGGTTTATCATTGGGACTCCCCTTACTTTGCATCCCTGTACTCTTCTCCAGTTTCTTATGCTCTAAGAGGAATAATTGCCACAAAACAGGTAAAATAGCCGTAAACCAGGAAAAATTGCCATAAAACAGGAAAAATCACTATTAACCAAGGTGGTCGGTGTGTCAGAGTTGAGATCTTTTAAGAACTGCAGAGGATGTGTCATGTGGTATAGTGAGGCATGTCCCAAGGATGCTCTCAGGACTGTACAGGCCACATACACATGTGTGGCCTCGGGTGCTGCCACGGGTGACCTTGCAAAGCCTGTGACATCTCAATTCACACAGCAGCAGGCAGCATTTGGCCAGATGTACTGGGACAGGCTGCCATAAGCCTCTGTGAGATGACAATCGTCAGCCTGAGCTTATAACCCAAGCAGGAGTTTTCACAGCTCAGGCTATGACACATCAACAACTATCTGAAAACAAAATCCAGGCTCCCAAACAGGAGCACATGTGCTTCCAGGTGGCACTCCTGTCCTCAGATGTTCAAATGGGATTTCTGTCTTGTGCTTGAAACAAGGAATGTGCCAAAGGAAAATAAGGAACTCCTCCTTCGCTGCCAATAGTGACAACTTTGAACTCTTGCCCTCGTGCAATGTTTGTGTTTTCCTCCAGAAATTCCAGGGTTAAGGAACTGATTGCATTTTAATGGCCTGATCTTTGGGCAGTGTCAGCTGCCAGAGTATTTTCAAGGTATATTGCAAGCAACAGTTAATGATGCAAAGCTTTCATGGGCAGCTACGTCATCCTCTTTCCCCACTGGAAAACTGAGGGAGGAGAGAGTGAAGGGAATTTCAATAACTAGAATGAAATAAAGCCATAAATGAAGATAATTTATTCAAGTTATTAGAAATAAGCTTAGCTGTTTGCATGCCTAGAAGAGCACCAAGAGTGAACCAGCAATGCCTTTACTAATGAGAAAATCTCTTCTCTTGCAGGTTGTTGGTCTCCTCTTGCCCAACCAGACGCTGGCATCCACGGTGTTTTGGCAGGTAACACTTGTTGGGTTGGGTGGAGAAGGTGGTGGAGAGAAAGGTTGAATTTTGATTAGAGGACAAACTGATGCATGTGGCTGTTGTGCACTGGCCATGCTTTAGGGAGAGGATGTGGCTGGATATAATTAGGGAAAGGTTTGGTAGGTCTGGAAAGGGCTATAAAAAAACTGTTGGGTCCATTTTGCATCACACAACTACTTAAGCCACAGCAAGGAAGAGGCCAAATAGTCCAGAATCTCAAAATCACCTTAAATATTGGAACTTAAATATTAAACATGGAACTGTTAGAGCAAGTCCAGAGGAGGTCATGAAGTTGCTAAGAGGACTAGAGCACCTTCCGTACGAGGACAGGCTGAAAGAGTTGGGGCTATTTAGCCTGGAGAAGAGCAACCTTGCAAGATCTGAAGGAGCTCCAGGGAAGCTGGAGAGGGACTCTTGATTAGGAACTGCAGTGACAGGACAAGAAGTAATGGGGATAGATTGAAAGAGTGAAATTTAGATTAGCTATTAGGAAGAAGTTTTTCCCTCTGAGAGTGGTGAGACACTGGCACAGGTTGCCCAGGGAGGCTGTGGCTGCCCCAGCTCTGACAGTGTTCAAAGCCAGGTTGGATAAAGCCTTGAGCAACTTGCTGTGGTTGGGTGTCCCTGTCCAGGGCAGGAGGTTGGCACTAGGTGATCTCTAAGGTCCCTCCCAGCCCCTCAGCATAGTATGATTCCATTATTTTTGGGCCCATTTTGTACAGGTGTAAATGTTTGCACCATGTGTACATCCATGAAAATGTTAAGCTCACACATCTGCTGTTTGAGGACACCCTGTCAAGTAGTTGGGATCTTCCTTGGTGAATTCCCATTTGAAGTGCAACATCTGGCAGGGGTGGGGGCAATGGGAGGCCCCATTCCCAGGAATTTTGGGAATAGCTTTGCATTGCAAATCCAAGGACTTCTGCATTCAGCGTGCTACAGGAGCTTTGGGGGAAAATAGTCTGTGTGTAGGGAGGTGTTGGTGTAATTTCCCATTAAAATTCTGGGAATTAAGAGTAAGGGAGGAAGTGTGCACGTGAATGAGTTTTATCCGTAGTAAACACACCACTTAAGTGTAATTTCATCACTAACTGAAACGAAAGAACGAGTTATTTTCAGACTCATTTTTAGTGGCAAATGTCTTTTTATTGTCTGGAGTGTAAGTGAGGATAGAGAATTCTGCAGTCAAGAAATATCAGAGCAGAATGGGATCTGCCTGGAGTGTTAGAAAGATGGCAGAGCCAAGAATACATCGGTATGTGCCAGTAACTCGTGGTCTGGTGTATTGAGATGCAAAGTTATCCCATGTCATTTTGTCTTCTGAGACTGGGATAGTGGATGGAGACATCCTAATCCATTCAGATTCTTGAAGATTTTTAGATATCTGTGATAGATTCACAGACTGGTTTGGGTTGGAAGGGACTTTAAAGACCTTCTTGTTCCACCCCCTGCCATGGGCAGGGACACCTTCCACTAGACCAGGTTGCTCCAAGCCACATCCAACTTGGCCTTGAACACTTCCAGGGATGAGGCAGCCACAGCTTCTCTGTTCCAGTACCACTTTCATGGCATCTGTATCCATAAGCTGGTACATCTTCTCATCTGTTCCTCAGCTGAAGCCTCCTACGACCTTCTGAGTCTTGGAGCTTGATAGGTGACTTACGAAATGTGTTCTGGGCTTCCTGCTATATCCTAATTGCATGGATTTGGTGCTAATGGAAATAAAGACCAGTAGCACTGAGTTGTCATATGAAGGCGGATTGGGCCAGGAGAGGAGTTGCACATCAAGCATCCAGGGAAGCCGAGCTGGGATTTCTGTCCCTCATTTTGAAGGGCATTCATATTTTGTTGTGAATGCATGTTAAAGGGTTGGAAAGGCCATTAGAGGTCATCCAGTCCCAACCCCCTGCCCTGGGCAGGGACACCTTCCACCACACCAGGTTGCTCAAGGCTTTATCCAACCTGGCTTTGAACACTACCAGGGTTGGGGCAGCCACAGCCTCCCTGGGCAACCTGTGCCAGTGTCTCACCACCCTCACAGGGAAAAACTTCTAGTATCTACATGTCGCTCTTTCCGTTTCTCCCCATCACTCCTTGTCCTGTCACTGCAGTTCCTAACCAAGAGTCCCTCTCCAGCTTCCCTGGAGCCCCTTCAGATCCTGGCAGGTTGCTGTGATGCCTCCACACAACCTTCTTAAAGGTCATTCTGTCCCTCACAATTAAAGGGTATTCTGTCCCGCATTTTGAAGGGCATTATTGTCCTTCACATAGGGCATGCAGAAGCCTTTGAGGTGAGGCATCAGGTTACGAGCAGGCCCAAAGGGAAACAAGTTTTCCCACATTTTCAGTTACTTATTTTTGTGGGGTTATGTTGATGCCTGTCTCTCCTTGTTCCCTCTCTAGTGGTTGAATCAGAGCCACAATGCCTGCGTCAACTATGCAAACCGCAACGCGACAAAGGTGAGGAGACCCAACATATGTGGTGCATGCAGCGCATCAGGTCTGTTTTGACACCAAAACATAAGTCTTGTCTCTTCGCTGTTAATAGAAACTCTGGAGTTGGCACTGTGATGGATTTAGGCCATTCTCCTGTGGAGGCTTCCACTTTAAAACCAGCTTAAACCTCAGCTTCAAACCTTCTAATTTAAACCTCATGTGTAAGTGGCATGTGGAGCTTGAAATCACTCAAGGCACATAAATAATGCTCAATGCCTTTGAGATGAACCAGTACATAGTTTTAACTGGTATGAAATTATTTAATTGATATGTAAATAAGCATAGAGCAAAATGGAATCTGGTTTTGGATCCATGATCATGTTGTGATCTCTCAAGGTCTTTATATGAGCTACCAGCAATGGTGCTGAGAAGTGGTGGGGCTGTTGCTTCTCTCTTCCATCACTATAGCCTTCATTCATCCCATGTCGGGATGTGGGAAGCTGAGTTGGAAACTCTCCAGCTTATTGAGATAACATTTCAAAGACAAAATATTTAATGTGGCGAGTTTGGGGTTCATCACTAGCGGGCAAGAATGCTAATTTGGTACCATTTGCTGAATTTCATTCCCCTCCTTCTTTTGAGCTGCTATTATTATAATTTTATGATGCCAATTAATTTTCCATTCCCTTTAACCTTGCTCATGAGGCCACAATTTCCTTCGCTTTTGCCGCTGCTAGATGACAGACCATGTGTCACAGAACAATATGACAGAATTAAACCTGTCTCTGCTTTAAAACAAAACAAACAACAACAAAAAGAAAAAGCTTGGTTGCATTTTAATAACCAGAAGTTTGTTTATTGAAAATATGTTTTGTTTTTCTTTCCAAAGCCTTCTCCGACATCCAAGTTCATCCAGGGCTACTTGGGAGCTGTCATAAGTGCTGTCTCAATAGCAGTGGGTAACGCTTTATATCTCTATATTTCATGACTGAGTAGCTGCTCCCTTCCGGCAGTGCTGTGGTGCTTTTGAGGTGTTTGTTGGGTTTGCCAAGCATGTTTATCTCCTGATTGACAGAATTCAGTCTTCTTAACCAGAAAATATTGTAACCCTGAGGTGTGTCTTCCCATGCATGCCCAAGCTTTTCACCAGAAGGAGACTTCTACTGCTGATGGCATCCAGGACCTCCTGCACTGTGGCTTTGCTGCTGAGTGAACTCAAATTATCCACACGTGCATTAACTGGTGGTGAATTAGCCTAGTCCAACTTAAAATAGAGACTTTGAGGCTGCAGGGTGCTGGTGTGGCAGCTGATGTGCTGAGGCGAGGTAGGATTCTGGAGATGTTCTCCTGGTGAATCAGCATCTTGATTCACAGTGCTTGAAATTATGTATTTCACCTGTAGACATTTTTCAAGCTGGAAATAGTGTTCAAGTCATAGCATAGAATCACATAATGCTTTGGGTTGGAAGGGACCTTAAAGATCATCTAGTTCCACACCCCTGCCAATGGGCAGGGACACCTTCTACTAGACCAGGTTGCTCCAAGCCCCATCCAACCTTGCCTGGAACACTTCCAGGGATGGAGCAGCCACAGCTGTTCTGGGCAACCTGTGCCAGTGCCTCACAGCCAAGAATTTCTTCCCAATATCCCATCACACCCTGCCTTCTGGCAGTGGGAAGCCATTCCCCCTTGTCCTGTCACTCCAGGCCCTTGTCCAAAGTCCCTCTCCAGCTCTCTTGGAGCCCCTTTAGACACTGGAAGGGGCTCTAAGTTCTCTCTGAAGCCTTCTCTTCTCCAGGCTGAAGACCCCCAACTCTTACAGCCTGGTTTCATAGCAGAGGTGCTCCAGCCCTTGGAGCACCTCCGTGGCCTCCTCTGAAGTAGTATCTGAAATAATCTGTAAGAGAGGAGCTTTTAGCATTACTAAAGTCATGCCCTTGTGGCTTTAATACTCAGATTCCCCAGAAGCAACTACCTACTATGCCGTCGGTAGCAGAGTCAGCTCATTCCCAGGGACATAGGTGCATTTTTCAGGAGCAACTTATGAGAGTTATCTTGGATTTTCCAGTAAGCCTCTGAAATGAATAGTTGTACCTTTGCTGCTGGAAAATTAAGGATAACCACAGCATTTATAATTTTTTTCTCTTGGTCAAGATTTTTTCCTCTTTCTCAAGCCACGGAGAGTTTGCTTTTCTCAAGCACATTTCTGAAGGGTGTAGAGCTGTTGACGTATCTTGAGGTTTTGAGGGGGAACTGTCCATTTTTTTGGATACACATCTGCTGAATAGTTTTCCATGTTGCTGACTTGATGTGCTCACCAGTCCTGCTTCTCTGTATGACCTGAGTTATCCCTTCACCTCAGAATTAACCCTGCACACAGCCCAGCTGTGCATCAGTGCAACCTCCCACTCCTCATAACCCCGTGGAGCTGTGTTCACACCAGCCCCTGCTTCTCCATCTGAAATATAATCCCAATCCCATTTTACCAACCTCAGTGCTTCAGTTAGCAGCCGTTTTTCATCCACAGCTTGCCAGTGGGAGAGCTTGACTGATCTCCTCAGTCCTTTTTCTACCCTGTGAATTACTAAAACAAAGTTCTCCAGCTTGATGTGCTTCTGCCACTCACAACCTGCCTGACAGTCCTCAGCACAGCTCCAATGGTGACCAGTTCCACATTGTTGGCATTAATGATCCTCTCCATTTTGGCAACAGGGGCAGATTAGAGGGGCAGGAGACACCAAGGAGTGATGTTGGCAGAGTTTTGTCACCCCAAGAAGCTGAGAAGCTTTGGTAAGGAAACTGCTTGGGTGGCAAAAGGAGATATGTGTGTTGGAACAGTTGATGAAGGTCTTGGAGATCTCTGGTTCCTCCAAGGCTGACTGCAAAGGAGCTGAAGCAGAATGAGGTTCAGAGCGCACAAAGTACCATTGGTGTTGCTGTGAGAAACACCTGTGTGAAAAGCTACACTGAGACTTGTAGATAAATGAAACTGCAACATTTTAGCTGTGGGCAAGAGGAAATCTTACTGCAAGAGGTTGTTTCTGCCTTCTTGTAAGTGCCATGGTGGCCCCACCAGACTGGGATTCCACTGGCATGTGCTTGGTGTGTGTGTGAAGAGTACTGTCAGCTCTGGAATACCAGTGTATTTGTAGCTGTGGTGCTCTGAGGGTCAGAATATTGTTACAGGGAGGCAGGAGCTTTCCGTAGATCCATGGATGTAGTTGAGGGGTGAAGAATGGCGAAAGCCTTCACGAGTATTTCTTCCTGGTGTTGGAAGGAGGTCTTCCTCCAAGTGGAGTATGAAGGGCAACAGCCTTCACAGGTGCTTTCTCCTTCCTGATGTTGGAAGAAGATCTTCTTCCAAGTGGAGCAGACTATGTGATGTGGGATACGCAAAAATGAGATGAAGTTTCTCTGCATTGCTGTCCCCATTGTGTCCCCACAGATGAGCTACAGGGGACATTCCTGATGTGTGTATTACTGTGGAATAGCTTGTCCTGGTAATCCCTATCAGGACTCATCGCATGCTCAATTCTCAACAAACACAGGAAATAGAGAAAATCCTGCAGAGCAGGGAGTGATTTTTGTGTTGTAAATATCTGGATTAATAACCAACATCTCCTCAAGCATTGGTTTGTTGGTTGTTTTTTCAATGCTGATGACAAATAATAGAGAAACAGCTCTGAGGTTCATTATGTTGGACTGTGAGTCCTCAGCCCTCATTAACTGATCTCTGCTGTCAGTTAGCAACAAATCACCTCCCAGTGTGAGCCCATTAGGACCAGATGACCTGAAAACAAGTGCCACTGCCTCCAGTGGGCTGTGGAGCCTTGGTATTAATTAAAGTGAGCCCCTTCCATGTTTGCAGTTGGCAAGCGATGCGGGGAGAAGGCTCACGAAAGGACAGAGCAGTTGACTTGTGATTGTGCTTCCCATGGTCCTCACCCTCCGTGTCTTTAACAAGAGGGACAAACAAATTGCTTACTCAGGCGGATGGATGAGCAGATTTTGGCTTTGTGTATCTTGCAATTAAATGAGAAGTCTTAGGAAATCTTTGCAAATAACCTGATTCTCTTCCCATTTTAGAGTGAAAGGAATTGCTGCCAGAGAGGTGCAATGCTTCTCCCTCATATCCAGTGCTACATCCACAACTCCTGATGATTTGGGAGGAATCAATTTTCTTTTATTCAATATTTTTCAGTATTTTCCCCCCAGTATTCCTTTTTTCTTTCCACCTACTCCCATCCCAACCCAGTTCACAGCAGAGCTGCATGCATGGAAAGCTCTGCCAAGTCCAGAATCTTCTCTCTTCTCCTATGCAGTACTCAGGTGAAGGAATCAATTGAAGTAAGGCTGGAAAAGGTGTTTGAGTTGGAAGGAATCCCAAAGATCATCCTATTCCATTCCCTGCCATATGCAGGGACACCTTCCACTAGACCAGTTTGCTCCAAGCCCCATCCAACTTGGCCTGGAATGTTTCCAAGGATGAGGCAGCCACAGCTTCTCTGGACAACTTCTAAAATTTCTGGTTCTCCTGCTGTGATTATAGTTTATTTTTATCCCGTTCTCCATACACCAAGGCCTCTTTCCTGCCTTTTCCTTTGACCACTCTCTTTTTGCCACTGTTCTGAACACTGAGTGATAATTGTTAATATTTTTTCCAAACAATTGAATGTATTCCTGTGATTAGGCTTTATTTTCTCTTCTCTGGCTGTTGTTCATGGTGGTGGTGTACAAAGCTCAATTAATACCAGCTGGTTTTCCTAAACAAGGCAAACAAAGGCAGAGAGGAGTGAAAAGACTTGAGAAAGACCAAGTGTGTATTAAATGTTGGGAGGTTTTTTTTATTCCCCAAATATTCCTGTGCCAAGAGCTGTACAGATCGGAGGGTTTGTAATGATGCAGAAACCCTTTCCAGCACACACACACACACACACACACACATACTCTTCCCCTCTGCTATTTTCTTCACAATTTTAAAAGGTTGAAAAAAAGCTACATAAAGCCAATTTTATTGGTAATAACTGCTTTTTAGATATTATCATTT